AACCCCCCAAAACTCCACCTAAATGTAGCATAATAATAGTTTGAAAGAGTGGTTTTCTAAAAGTGAAAACAGAAGATCTAATCACCAGAAAGAATCCGTAACCACAGTTTTCATTTATGAACCATATCAGACACCATTCTTAATGTTTAATACAGGTTATGCTTGAGTCAAAACAATTGTGCAAGAAAGTTAATTATATCTTTGCAGATGTGGTAACAGAGGTTCAGGAGAACAAATGATGTCACATTAGATATGTAGCTCTGTACAACATGGCTCAATCTCATAGCCATAATATTGAGCCAAAGAAACCAGGATATGAAAGTATACACTGTAGGATTACCTTTATACATAAATTCAAAAATAAGGGACAAGTGTGGTTACTCTTGAGGGTGGGGTTCGACTAGGAGAGGGCAAGAGAGAAACTTTTCCATTACTATGAGGTTTATTAAGGAGGCTAATAGATGATAAATGCTCAGGATATAATCATTTGGACAGGACATGTTCTCTTAGCTGTAGCCACAGGCAGGTCTCTCTCTGGTGTTTGGCCTCTGTCAGCCACATGGCCTGTTGACCTCTGCCCTGTTTGTGCTATGTTACAAAATCCTTCTAGGACTGCCAATAAATTCCCAAAAGGCACATTGTTCTGCCATAAGCCACAGCCAGAAGAAATTCAGCTCCAGCTTCATGGGTCAGTAAACCAAACTCCACTGATGAAGTGCCTGGCAACACCCCACTCCACAAGCCAGCCTCCTGCCCAAAGGTACTCAGCTGGGAAGTCCACCACTCTGTCTCATGCTCTAAGTCTCCTGCTGCCACCCCTAGTGTCATAGCTGTCTCCTGGATCAAGAAGGCTCAATGCCCAGACACCTCAGAGTCCAAAGAATGTGCACCACTCCAGATTCTTCCCTCTTGCCAGAAAAGATCACTGATTCACCCCATTTCACACTCCAATTATGAAATTTATTAAAGAAGTTAACAGACCACAAATGCTCAGGATACAATTATTCAGACAGCACCACCTCTTCTCAGTCATGTCCATAGGCTTTGGCTTTGGTCTTTGGTCTCTGGTCTTTGGCCTCCCAGCCATTTGGCCCATTGGCCTCTACCCTGTTTAGGCAATGTTACAAAGTTCTCTTAGGGTTGTCAATAATGGCCCAAAGGGTACAATAGTATACCATAAGCCTCTGCTTGAAGACCCTCAGCTTTAGCTCTGTGGGTCAGCAAACCTGATATGAGTGGAAGCTGAATGCATACATGCTCACACATATATATCCAGATTCATCTGTACAAAAATCTCTGTCCTTTACTACATATGAATTATAACTCAACAAGAGAGCAAAAGTTGAGGAGAATGAATTAAAATGTAGTTCTCTTTAGTTCCTAAGACCCTATCTTTCTACTACACATTCTTTCTGCAATCATTGTCAACTTTTCATGGGAAGCATAGAATCTTACTTATTCTGCTGGGATATTGCACAGCACAATCTCCACAGATGATAAACGATTGCAAGTGGGTGAATGTAGAAGAAATTGCAAAGTACAAGGAAGTTGAAGAAAGGTTGATGGAAATTAGGACTGAGTGATAAAGACTTTTGTGCACCTTGTTAAAAGGGAGGGTTTAGATGTGACTTATCTATAGACAACCACTGGAACATTGCATGTTAAAAATTTGTGATCGTTTCTTTTCTTCTTTTTGTTGCTGTGGGTAGAATGGATTAGTGAACATGATTGGAAGGAGGCAAAGTTTAGAAACTGAAAGCAAGCTAGGTTATTATGATGATCTATGCCAAAGCAGATAGATCTCAGACTACAATGTGTTGCACTGTAGTTTAAGGTGACGGAGTATTATTTTAGGAGTAGGGTTGGGTGGGTGTTGCAATTAGTGGGAATTGAGGGTGCAGGACAGACAGGGGTTGATGGAGAAGGTGAAGCAATCCAGATGAAATTAAGTCTTGGTCAAACAGCAGAAAAACAGGACCAAGTACTCACATATTGCTCTGGAGAGAGGATAAGGCTGGGTTAGTTGTTAGGGATCTAGTCAAGTGAACTGGTATACAGAGAAGTGTTCTAGTTTTGGTGAAGGATTTGAGTGCTAACCTGGATCAAAGGCCATTTATACGGAGACAGCATAGTTTATAAGGGCTGTGTCTTGAAGCTCAGAACAAGAAAGAGCCTCCAGATCCTATCTTTTGAGGTCTAGTGCAACTTCTGCCTTATCTTTGAAGTGTTCTTTATCACACAGTATTCTTTCTTTCCTGAAAAGCTACTATGTAGCATTAGCTATTGGATATTGTCTGAGTTCTGGGGATCATGGTTGGATAATAAGCAGTTCCTAACATTCAGGATCAAGTGCTGGCCTCCTCTTTTAAGCTCCTCTTGCCATTATGGCCCAAAGAATCATCTATTAATGTGGTGCCTTAGGGAAGTTCTGTTTTGAACTGCTAATTTAATTTCTAGGATTGAACTTTAAGGGACTCTAGTGGCATAGTGGCTAAGCACTCATCTGCTATCTTCAAGGTCAGTGGTTCAAACTCCATGGAAGATATGGTAGCCTTGCCCATAAATATTACAGCCTTAAAAACACTATAGGACAATTCGTGTCCTTCATCTTATATATGTTTGACATAGTGTCAGGAGAGACCAGTCCCTGGAGAAGGACATAATGATTGATAAAGTGGAAGGGCAGACCAAAAAGAGGTATGCCCTCAATGAGGTGGATGGACACCATGGCTGCAACGAAGGGCTCAGGCACAGGAACAATTGTAAAGGGTGGGTGGGGGTGGGGGGCAGGACCATGCAGTGTTTCATTCTATTGTACATAAGGTGGCTATGAGTTGTAATCAACTTGATAGCACCTAGCAGCAGTAATTTCACCCTATAGTCAGAATGGACGTCATGGCAATGAGCTTGGCTTTTTTGTTTGTTTGCAGGGTGTGTGTGTGTGTGGGTTGTTTGTTTAACTTTTTTCCTTTATGACATATCTTCCTCAGTTATATTGTAAAGACTGTTTCCTGGAAACTGTGTAGTTTTCTTTGAGGATGGAGAATGGTATACTGTCATGTATCAGACATTGACTTTAGTCCAAGTGTGGTACAAACAGTTGTCTACTAACTGACATTGCTTCAGTCCCCTTCAGTGGTGTTAAAATCGCAGCTAAGAAAAGCATAGGACTCGGTTGTGCTCTGTAATATTTAGGACTAGCAATTGAGAGCAACTTGTTTGGTTTGTGACACATTTGGCTAGTGCTGCTCTCAGTGCAATATGTTTAGTAGTCCATCTTGTTGGGTCCAAGACACCCATGACATTACAGACATTCGTGCATAGGATGAAGCTCAAGTGAGTTGATTTAGATGAGCATATATTCAATTATAATTTTCAAGGGTAGTTATAATCCTGGGGAAGTAAGTGGTCCTTAAGTGCATGAAACAGGGAAGTGTATCACATTTATTCCTCACAGCAATCTTGTAGATTAGTAATTAACTAAAGTACAGATAAACCTTGAAACTTAGTTCATGTCACAAAGCCAATAGGTTGTAATATGGGTCTCAAGTTCAGAGACTCAGGTCTCTTTAACCAAAGCTCTCTAAAATTTCTTCCTTTACCATGATGCCCTTTTGATAAATAGTTGGGTTAATTACTTGAATGTGATTTTCATACACCATCCTGCCAAAAATATTGTTTCTAAATTAAATCATTTACCACCGGGAGAAAAGGAGGTTCCAGAGTGAATTCGGGACGTTTCTGCAGCACATTTATAAAATATACAAGGAAAGGGATCCGTTTTCCTGCTTAGCTGAGTGAAACATTATTAATTCCTCATCTTGGAACTGCCAACTACAGTACAGCTGTAATAAGGGCCCTTGTGCCCAAATAGGCCCTTAAACGGAAGACCTGGAGAGCAGAGACCGCTTTCCCGGCCTGCTCCCCTGGGTCAGCTTCTTGCCAACTGACCACGAGGAAGAAGCAGCAGGGGAGCAGGGACTGCAGGTTGGCGGGGAGGGGATCATTTTGAAAGCCTTCAATCCTTTGCAGGGAAGAAGCAGCTGCTCCTTGTTTTTCTAAACATCTGCCCTGTCCTGGTCGCCCTACACCCTTCCGGCGGCTCGAGTTAGTTAAAGGCGGATTTGACAAGAAAGCATTTCAGAAGGCTGGCTGGTGAGTCGGAATGACGGTAACGCCATCCAGAAAGTCCCTTCTATTGAGAAGAGGGCATTTGGGGGATTTAAGGAGACTGGCCATCACCTTCCTTCATTTACCTCACAAGACAGCCAGCTTTGAGTCAGGATTTCAGGAGCGCGAAGCAATCGATCGAACTATACTCTGTGCCCTAAAGACATTGCTTCCCCAAAAGGAGGTCTGTGATTTTTGCTTTAACCTCCTGGGAGGCGGCAGGTTGTCGTTTCAGGGGAGATATAACGATCCCGCACACACGACTCCACTTCTACGGTAGGAAGCGCTGTGCACACCTCGCGCGTGTGGCGTTTATCACATTTAACAGCGTGTCGTCTACGTTTGACTCCCCTGCCAACGCGGTGCTCCTTGAGGATTAAAAAAATAAATAAATAAAAATCACTGCAATCGAATCGATGCTGACTCAGAGCGAGCGACCCTGGAGGATAGAAACCTTATTTTTTGTTAGTTATTTTCCCCTAACCCTCAGGACCTCCCTCTGCACCTGGCAGGGATGAAATAGATCTTTATGACAGTTTGGGAAAATTGAATGAAAGGGCGGGGGGGTACAGTAAGTTCTCCGAGGAGAAATCTCAGATTCGGACATAAATAGCCAGAGGCAGCGCGATCCCCAAGGGCCCCAGCTGCAACTCTCGCCGCCGCAGACCAAGCCCCCAGCGCTGGCGCTCAACTCAAAGCCAGGTGCGTGCGCAGCCACGCCCTCCCCCACGGTCATTACTTCTGCGAAGGCCGCTACGGGGTAAAGGGATTCGGGGGCGGGGCTAGAAGGGCGCAGGCGCACTGGGCGGCGGAAGTAGGAACAAGAGAAAGCAACGGGGCTGGATCCGGCTCTTCGGGTGTCACGTTCCTTCGGTTTCCTCCTTGCGCGGGAAGCCCGGGCGGCCGCACGTGCAGCCGTGCCCAGGCTCCTCCCCTTCCCGCCCCTGGTCCCCGGTCCCAGGTCCTCGGTCCCCTGATCCACCTCCGGGTACTGCCTCTCCAGCCCACCGAGATGGCGCTCGACCCTGCAGGTACTGGTGCAGGGGGCGGGGGTGCCAGAGGCCCGGGCCGTACCGCGGGCGTGGCGGCCCGGGGCAGACCTGGAAAAGGTGCGGAGCTGTGGGGGCTGCGCAGCTTCCGCTGACTCCCCCTCTTGCCCTGCGGTAAACTCTGGGTTTCTGGCCGACCTCCGTTTTCTGAAGGTCATGTGTCATCTTCCTGCGCCTTGAGTTAGGGTTAGGTGAAGGGCGCCAGGTTTGTGGTCTAAGCACGCGTCCGTTTGTGACTTGTAAACTTTTCTCCTGAAGTTAGCATCCTCTTCGGCTCTCTGCGGTCTCAAACTGCAAATATCTAATGCGCATCGTAGAAAAATTTGCATGTTCTTCCGATTTTATTTTAGGTGTCAGGAGTTCACACAGCTCAAATTCATCCGTGGTGTCTGATTTAAAACAAATGGTTCAGAGGGTCTAGGCAACTGTGGCAAGTAGTCGTTTCTTGGAAAAGTTGCCTAAGGACTTGATACATGTTATTTATTTTTCGTGCTTCCACACCATTTACATTTGCAACCCCCCTTCTTACAGGGTCTCAGTGCAATATCGTTGCCTTACCCTGTTTATTTGAAGGTGTTGATGTGAAGGTGTTCCTTAGGTTGGAGGTTCCAGTTCTCTTGAAGCAAAAACACCTGGTGATACAAAAAAAATTATAAATTTTGGAAATTCCATTCGTACAATTCTGCATGATGCTCATGGGTGGCAGTAAGTCAGAATGACTCATTGGCATCTATTTTAGTTTATCTTTGATTATAGATATAAAGCTTCATCTATGAAGGGAATGGTAATCGAGCTAGTACTTTTCAGTTTATATATACTAAGCCTCAAGATACTGGGAGGTAAATTGGCTTTTGACACTTACAAATTCTGAAATGAAAAGGACATTTTTATGTTTTCTCAAGGAGGATGAAAAAGATTTATGACACACAAACAAGACATTTATTGAAAACTATAATATCAAACCTTTTCCCTATTATTCTAAGTACATGATGTGGTAAATTAAATTTTCTTGGTTTTATAAATTAAGAAGGCAATTGAGGCCTAGAAGTTAAGTTACTAGTCAAAGTCCACAGTGGCAAATTGGGAGAATACTCTAATTCAGTGGTCATCAGTCCCCTTTGGGGGTCGAATGACCCTTTCACAGGGGTGGCCGATTCATAACAGTACCAAAATGACAGTTATGAAGTAGCAACGAAAACAATTTTATGGTTGGGGGGTCACCACCACATGAGGAACTGTATGAAAGGGTGGAGACGTTAGGAAGGTGGAGAACCGCTGCAATTGTTCTAAAGGAGTTGTCAGGAAGAAACACACAGTGACCACACTGATTTGGAGCCAGATGATTGCCTCAAGATTTATGAAGCAGTTAGCAATTGAGCTGTAGCTTTATCAAAACAAATACAAGCCCACTGCCATTGAGCTGATTCTGATTCCTGTTGGTCCTTTATAGAAACAGAAAGCCTGCTTTTTCTCCCTGGGTGGTTTTCAAGCACCAACGTTGTGATTAACAATTCAACACTTAACCAACAGGACTACCAAAAAGCAAACAAATTCACTGCCATAGAGTCGATACTGACTCATAGTTACCTTTTAGGATAGGGTAGACTTGCCCCTGTGAGGTTCTGAGATTGTGACTGTTTATGGGCGCAGAAAGCCCATCTTCCAAGGAGCTGCTGGTGGTTCTGAACAGCTGACCTTGGGGATCGAAGTCTAATTCATAAACTCTACACCCCAAGGGCTCCTTTAATATTGCTATAGGCCCTAGGAAACAGTTGTATATAGCACAGACAAGCTCAAAGGGAAAAAAGTTTGAGTCTACCTGCTGTTTCCTAGGGCCTGTAACAAAGCTGAGGAGGCCCTGATGGTATGGTGGTTTACATGGTGAGCTCCTAACCATAAGTTCAGCAGTTTGAAATCACCACCTGCTCCATGGGAGAAAGATGAGGGTTTATCCTTCAAGAGTTGGGTCGATCTGAGTAGGAATCAACTCTATGGCAATGAGTTTGGAGTATAGTAGTGCTAGGGATCCTTGAGGTGCAGTGGTTTAAGCATTGGGCTGCGAACCACAAGGTCAGTGGTTTGAGCCTGCCAGGAACTCTGGGCCAAAGATGAGGCTGTCTGTTTCCTACAAGGTTGACAGCCTCAGAGAACCCATGGAGCAGCTCTCCTCTATCCTATATGGTCATGGAGTCAGAATCGACTGGGGCAGTGTGGGTGGTAGGTATTGTACATGTACCTGTCATTCATCATAAAGCATGTATTCTAGTGTGGAAGAAAGAAAACAAATCTCCCCTCTTCCCCTTTATACATTGTGATGTAAATGAATAAGCAAGGTTAAGAGAGGGTTAATGTTAACTATAGCAGTGGTTAATGGAAAGCTCTGCTAGAAGCCCTAGTGGTTAAACATAGGGCTGCTTACTACAAGGTCAGCAGTTCAAAACTGCCAGCCTCTCATCTGGAGAAAGACAAGGCTTTCTAAGTCCATAAAGATTTGCAATCTTGGAACCCACAGGGGTTGTTGTACCCTGCCCTATAGTGTTGGTAGGAATTTGACTCAACTTGATGGCAGTGAGTTTGGTTTTGACTGGAATGAAAAGCTCTATGAAGTGTCATTTGGATTAGATTCTGAAGGATGAACTGAAGCAACCAGGTGAAGAGCCAGGAAGAGCGTGCTAGGCAGAAGTAGCAAACACCTAAAATGCTGAAGCAGAATAAGAACCTGCGTGGAAGAGATCCTTAAGGGAAGGTAGGCTGGAGCTAGATGCTTCAGGGAGTGGGGGCTGATGATAAAGCATTTGTTTTCTGATAATATCAAAAGCTTTGGGGGAATTTTAAAGAAATCAGTAGCATAATTATATCTTTACAATACTGCTATGACCATTTATGAGGTCCAGCCCACATCTGGATGGGTTCTAAGGGGCGGTTGTGTGATTGAGGGATACGTAAAAGAGACATGAGGCAAGGCATGCAAGGGCTCACCTCTTCCAACAGAGACTGGAACTAGAATGAGGCAGCAATGTATTCCCTTGCGGCCTTATATAATCTTGGGCATGCATGCCACGGTAAGCACATATGTACCAGGAAGGGGTTGTATTAGAGGGATACACGTAACATGAGGGGGGAAGAGTCAGAGCTATACATGGAATAGGAAGGTGAGGCACTAGAGGTATGCATGTGACAAGAAGGTACATACGCAAGATGGGTGGATTCCAGAGTCAAGATGGCAGCCTTTAGGTGACTTTGAACTCTTCTTCAGGGAAATAATCCATGATCCTTATATCAGAAGGGCGTGGGCTGTACTTAGGGTTAGATGGCCTGACAGCTTTTGATGGCAGATAGCATTGAAGCAGTTGCCCTTCAAGTAAGCAGACCATGTGCTTGCAAACAATGCTTTAGCATTGGCATTATTATGGGGGGGGGAGGGGGGCGGGGTATTGAGGGGAATACCTTTTACTCCGGAGAATGTAAGTGGGATGCCTGTTCAACCCAAGAATGTGAAGGTTTCCTTCACGGGATCCATGGCTCCCCAGATTCCTGAACGTATGAGTTTGTTCACATACACTATCTTCCCAGTTCTGTTTCCCACAACTGTTGTTAGTTGCCATCAAGCTGCCTGGGACCCATAGCGACCCTGTACACAACAGAACAAAACACTGCCTGGTCCTGCACCGTCCTCACAAGTGCCTGAGCCCATTGATGCAGCCACCGTGTCAATCTACCTCCTCAGGGCCTTCCTTTTTCATCGCCCTTCCACTTTACCCAACATGATGTCCTTCTCCAGGGACTGGTCTCTCCTAACAATATGTTCAAAGTATGTAAGACGAAGCCTTGCCATCCTTGCCTTTAAGGAGCATTCAGGTTTTGCTTCTTCTAATTGAAATCTGTTTGTCCTTTCAGCAGAGCAGTCTATGATACTTTTCAGTCTATGATACTCCAGCACCCTAATTAAAATGGAATCAATTCCTCTATGGTCTTCCTTATTCAGTGTCCAACTTTCACATGCATGTGATGCAATGGAGTGGATCAGTCCTCAAAATAGCATCCTTGTTCTTTAATACTCTATAGTGGTCTTGTGCAGCAGATTTACCGTATGTAATTCATCTTTTGGTTGCTTCCATGAGCATTGATTATGGATCCAGGTAAGACAAAATCTGTGATAACGCCAACCTTTCCTCCACTTATCGTGATGTTACCTATTGGGCCAGTAGTGAGGATTTGGGTCTTCCTTACATTGAGTTGTAATGTATCCCGAAGGCTACAATCCTTAATGTTCATCAGTAAGTGTTTCAAGTCTTCCTTACTTTCACCAAGCAAGATTGTGTCACCCGCGTACCGCAGGTTGTTAATAAACCCTCCTCCGATCCTGTTGCCACCCTTTTCAAATAATCCAGATTCTCTAATGGACTAGTGTGACTGCTGTGGTAGTGTTAGGTAGTAGGGGCATTATGAGTAGAAACAGGAAACTGGTTAAGAGAACTAGCAGTTGGTCAGGCCTATGTAGATAGAGGGAACTGCAATGGCAACATATATTTTTGGGGTTACATTGATAGGACCTGCTGTTGCATTGGGTATGGATTGGTAAGCAAGAGAATAGGATTACAGATAATTTCTAGATCTTTTCCCTAGAAATTAGTTGGATAAACTAAAAAAAATCACTATCATCATGTTGGTTCCAATTAATAGCTGCTCTATAAGTTAGGGCAGAACTGCCTCTGAATTTCGGACACTGTAACTCTGTGGAAGTAGAAAGCTGCATCTTTCTCCGAGGGGCAATGGATGGTCTTAAACTTCTGACTTTGCATTTAGCAGTCCAAGGTGTAATCCACTCTGCCACCACAATTTTTTAATTGGTTGGATCGTAATGGTCAAATCCACCAACATGAAGATCATTGGCACTTTGACAAAAAAACAGTAGAAACAAGATTGGAGTGGTCTAACAGAAAGGAATATGGCAAGGGTGAGGATGTGTATCTAAATTAAAG